CTTTCCAGTGATTAACTACCTTATTTTGATAATAATTTTCTGTTTGAGGTTTGCATTTCTTGTTGGTTGATGATTTTCAAAAGAATGAGTGTGATATGTTCCCATTATGAGTTTACACTTTTTAACAGAAGGAATTTTGAAAAGAAAATGTCTAAAATTTAGATAACAAAGCATGAGCGATAGAAGAAGCATAAATAATGATACTATGAAGTTGCTTTCTCAACGCTTTTGGAAGATTAATTCTTCTCTGGCAGGTTCTATATGGTATTTAGGTGATCATGACATCAAGCCTGTGTACTTTGCACATTTACCTAAATCTAACAAACTAATGGAATACTGGTGGCATTTGCAATTAGCATAATCAGATTGTGTATTTAAGTTTCTTTTCATTCACTTGAAAAGAAGCATGCAGTTATTATGCTGTCCCAGTGACAATTGGTAGTATTGCATCTTCATCGATCATTTACCTGTAAAATGTGTGTAGTGCTTCTGATATATGAGTTACATCCAGTTTATTGCATTTTTATTATACAGTTTATTACTGATAAGTATAAAAAAGGAAAAATAAATAAAATCCTTCATATGAAGAGACATGTTCTTGAAAACTCCCAGACACGTGCATGCACACAAGTTGAGCAATTCCTTGCTGTAGTTAGGTTATAGTTTGTGAATGTTGGCTTTTTATGAGTTTTACTTGGTAATCTAGGTAATGCCGGTTGGAATTGTTTCTTGCGATTTGATCATTGCATTTTTCAAGGGTTTCAGTTTTTAATGAAGCTTGTATCCATAGGAACAAATTTGATTTGATTACCATGCTTTGATGCTTTTCTTAATCTTTTGTTTTGCTTTTGGACCATGAGAATTTTATCATTCCACATTTATGTGGCTTGAGCAGGTACCTTGTTACCACATTTAAGGTAGTTCCAAGAGGAACAGAAGGGGCTGTCAGTGCTGAGGGAACACTAGCTGGATTGTTGGCCTCTATGCTTCTTGCCTCCATTGGTTGTATCCTGGGTGAGGTATTGTTTATCATGTTCTCTTTAATTATGCATAACCTTTTCTATTGCTTTACATTACTCTTTTTTTTTCTTCATCTGTATCATCCGTTCTTGTTGAGGTTGACTTGTATTCTTTTTGAGCATAAGAAAATAATTATGCAACCAAAGCATGTATAGCTAAAGTGGTCGTTAGCATTATGGGCATTTTTTATGGGCATTTTTCCTGCCTTCTTTCTCCTTTTCACATTACTTTGGTAAACATCACACCATTACATAACCTTATGCTATCATTATCATAGTTTCTCATTTTCAGATTGTGTTGTTATAGCAAAGGCAATACTGATAGTTATTGTCAAATGTAAAATCTAAAAACACCGTTTTGGCTTGATCCATATATTTTTATATTCTCCATTTAATTTCTGCCCCCCAATCCCACATACTGCTTTGAGAAAAGTTTTGGTTCTCTTTTTACTATTATTTCTCATCAATAAGGTTATCCTTTTGTTGTAATTACCATTTTATTCTGAAGCTAGTATTCTGGATACTGTTGTGATTAACTTTTATGAAACCTTGCCAAAAAAAGATTTGGAAGAACCTTTGCCAAAAGAGATTTGGAAGAAACCTAGTATTATGGAGTCAATCCTATTATCTCCAAAGAATGATTACCTTGTTTTTTGTAGTTCTTTTAGATGCATTTATTCATTGTTCATTTTGTAAGTTTTGAAATGGGTTGTGATGATGCTTATGGTCCAACTTATCCCATAATAAACTTTCTTCCTATATTTGACATAAACAAATGTACTATTTAAAGAACAAACTAAGAAAAAGTATGTTGTAAGAATTAGGAAGTTGATTTTTAAGGAAGCAGTGTGCATTTTCCAACATGAAAGTTGTTTTTAGGTTTGGTGCATCAGCAAAACTGTATGGTCCAGTGACTGGCTTCCAAATAGGGGTAGCATCTTCATCTTCTAAACAGAGCATCCTCGCTCTAAATAGGATTCGTGGAGACTTTACCGGTTAGGCGCACCCATTTTGACTACAGTTGTATGCTGTTTCTTCAGATTATGTTTTAATTTCATTCAGACCATGTAGCAATATTTTAGTGTATTGATTTTTTTAATATATTCCAATCATTCCCCTTTTCTTTGTATGAAACAGATAAATGCATCTGAAGCAGTTATATGTGTGATAGCATCCCAGATTGCTAATGTTGGTGAGAGCATAATAGGTGCTGCTTTCCAGGAGAAAGAAGGATTTCAATGGGTAAGCAAGCAAAAAAAACAGAAGAAAACTTAATTTATCATATGGAACTCAATCTTTTTTTTTTTTTCCCGGGAGGGGGTTGGGGTTTATACTTTACAGGACTACCTCCTGATAAACCACTCCCCATCCCAGGAACCTTAGAAGGCTCAAGCTCCATGCTTACTGGCATAACAAACTATGGAACGCAGCCAGCAGTCATACATGTTGTGTTTCTCTGCTATTGTCAATATGTTTTGAGTTCTGATCAGCCATGTAGAAGAGTGGGTTGCACTTAATTGTCTATGACTGTTGGGGACCATTAACCAGCTTGAACCTTACTTGAATTAGTTAATGTGTTAGAATATGGTTAGCTTTGAATCCAAGTTAACCATGGAGCTTACCTGATTAATTTGGGATTGAGGATTACCTTAGTTGAGCTGACCAGTATCTGATTAGTCTGGATATAGATGCTTTATGTGTGAAACCTATTCCAACCATAGAGAAATAGAAAAATCAGGCAAACGAGATTTACCTTCTCTGTGTATTGTGACTTCATGGCTCCTAGCTTTTCTGGACCCTCCTCTATTAAATGGACTTTTTTAGGAAATAATATTGTACACTTCTGAGTTTCTACAGATTATTGTGATACTTCATCAGTATGAGTAGGAAATGTCCTGCAATTCTATTGCTATCTCGTGTGTAACTGGCCTGATATTGCTGAGGTTGAGGATCTCATCAATCAATGATAGGCTGTTTGAGTCCGTGTGCCTAAACTATTACTCTTTCATGATATAATTTATGCTTCTGATCTTTTTTGCAGCTCAATAATGATGCTGTCAATGTCATCAACATATCTGTGGGCAGTATTTTAGCTGTACTGATGCAGCAAGTCTTTCTCCGAAACTTGGGTGCTTAAATCTATAAATTACTGGAAATTAAAATGTCTGAAAATTTTGGACTTTAGTTTCAACGTCATTCCAGCCATCTATACATTCCATTGATGAACAAAGCATGACCAGGTGCAGTGCAAAAAAGGTATTTTGCCCTGTTTCACATCAACCTGTGAGATTAACTGTTTATTATCCGCATACATGGCTCTCAGTTATGTTAGCAACAGAGTGCCAAACAAGATGTTTGTAAGTAATTCTAGATCAGTTCGGGATGATATTCGTAATATAGTTGTTAGATGCAAAATGTTGCCCATTTTATTTGTATATTATTCTTATTAGCTGATGCATTAAGTCCTATGTTAAGACGCCAGACTAATAGCTGGATCTTTTAATCACCGGAACCTTCTTTTTGTGGCAGTTTTCTGATGGAAACGATAATGGCTGAAAGAGGACAACTAATTTGGAGGAACGTCTTACACAGCAAGCTTTTTATTAAGCAGCTAATAGACCATATTTAGCCCTGCACACACATGATAAACACAATGGATTTCCTCTCTTGAAGGTTGAGAAAAAAGGGAAGATTTGTAATTTCCAATCTGTTTACATGTCACCTGTCTCCATATGGCTGTTCCTGCTGGTGCCTCGGCTTCCATGAGAATGAGCTCCAATAGTTTCTCGTACACTCCAACAGCAGACTCCATCATATCAATGGCGTTTCTCCTATCTTTTGCTGCCACTGACAAGACATCCTCTGTGTCTACTGTATCCTTTACTGATCTGGTAAACTATTTCCAAGATAGCCCTACCTCTACCAACAGTTTTAGTCGTATCATCGTCAGCTCAAACGCCTTGTCTTTTACGATCACAAATCCCACTGGCCACAACGAGGTCACTTCTGCTTTCCATGTTATCGCCGAGAACCATAATCACCCGCCCTCCTTCAACTTCCCATAAACACACTCCCATCTTCCGTAGCAGAAACCAATTCTTCCCCTCATTCAGCATCACCACTGATATGATCGCTCCACCATGTTTTTCACCGCATGTAACTTCTTTTCTGCTTCCAACCTTAAAAAATCCCTTATAAATCAAACCATCTGCCCCTGCAGCATGTAATTCTGTCTCTGTTGGGTCCTAAGCAATCCCAGAAATTTCACATGGGAATGTAATTTTGCAGAGGTTTGTTCCATCCAGAAGACTCCACAACTTGCATGTGCAATCTGTTGAGCAGGAAATTACGGTAGGGTGGCTGGACACCTTGCATCAGCCGTAACTAGGCCATCATGTGCAAAAAGCTATGTAAAATGAAATTGCTAATATTCTCATCTTTTGTTTGCCCTACGATTTGAAAGATTGGCACCACAAGCACGGTACCATCATCACCGCCAGAAATTAGGAGTGACCAGTTGTTGATGTTAGCAGGAAAGAAAAAACAAAGATAAAGTAACAGCTCAGCCCAGCTCTCCATGGGCTGGACATCATCTCGCCTGGCCAGGCCTAGGCGAGGTGTAGCTCACCGATGCATGGGCAAGCTACTGTACAGTAGACACCATAACCCACACGAACGTGCTAGGGTTACCTCTATTATTACCCGACAAAACGCCATCTACAAAGAAAGCTACATCATTCACGACGCGTAATGGAGTATGGACAATCCTTTCCACTTCTTTAAAAAGAACTTCAATCCAATTAAGGCAGGAGACTGAACGCCAGACTTCACATAGAATAACAAATTAATTATTCACTGTCAGCTCACTCTAGACATCTTCATTCCATAGAGAATTTTTCCCTGTAAAAAAAAAACACTTTTTTTATCCTTTCTATGTTTTTAGAACTAAATTAAAAAAAAACTAACTTAAATATCGGAGTGTTTATCGTGAAGGAACTTGTTTTGCAGAATCATACCAAACCTCATTAACCAAGAAAAGTCCATTTCCAAGTGAAGTCTTTTCAGACTTCATCACTGTTAATTGTTGACTGTGAGACAAGATACTGGTTTGTTGTGGGCAAGGACATGATTTCAGAACGGGCCCTGAAGGGATGGAAAGAGCACAGACATTCCCAGAAAGGCCACCAGCAAATAAAAATGACCCATCAAGAGTGCAATCAAGTGGAGCTACAGATTCAGAGACAGGCAGATGGTGAAAAGCTGTTGAGGACCACCAATTGTACTGGTGAGTTGAGCCTGAAGAAGCGACCGAAGAGATATGAGAGGCATCAATATAAGCCTTCCCAGCAAGGACAAGGCCATGGCAAGATGACCGGCTACCAGAGAAGCAAGCTACGATGGTGCCTGAGAACAAGACAGTACAGACATAAATTAGTAGCTCATGGAACTTCTCAGAAGCTAGCAGCAAAGTTTTATGGGCCTTCCTTAGTTCTGAAGAAGATAGGACCCACCCATTTTTTCATATTTCACAACTTTAAGAAGCACGTTGGTAATCTCACAGGAACAGACTCCTCAACCTGGAGCAGTTTTAAATAGAAGAATGATCAAGCAGGGACATCAGGCTGCTACACAAGTTGTTATTCACTGGGACATCCTCTCACAGAAGACCCCAACTGGGAGTTTTCAGACGACCTCAAGCGCAGGTTTCCTACCTTCTGTCTTGAGGACAAGGTCGAATTGAAGAGGGGAGCATTGTCAGGTGTGGCAAACTGAAGAAGAGAAGCAGAAGGGAAGAAGCTACAGCATCTCAAGATTGATTTATAAATCAAACCGTTAGGCTAAGTAACTAATGTGCAATACGCACCGTATCATTAAGCGCGATACGCACCGTTTTATTTTCTCTTTTCAGTTATTTTAGTGCAAGGTACTGTGCATTCTGGGCTGCGTAGAATCATCTCTTACTTCCTGGAAAGCCTGCAGGCTGGTGCAGTCAAGATCTCGAAGGGATTCTACAATTCACTGAACAGTAATAAAATCTTACCGCTTTGATTACCTTCTTTGACTACAAACCGCCTAACCAGGGAGGTTCACGGAATTGCAAGAGAACTGGGGGTCTCGTCTGTGTGTTATGCAGGTAAGCTTCTGCCGTAATGGGCTAAAGCTTTAACTGCACTTTTTCTTTTTTCTGGATTTGAAATAAGATTCCGCCTGCATTAGATTATCTCAACTTGAAAAAATATATTTAAAAATATAACCATCAGTACTTGGTTTTGATAATGTAGCAAGGGGTTGGACAACATCTTTACAAATCTTTTAATCTTGTAGTAAATAGCATGTTTTTATTATTATTACTGGATTAAAGAAACAAACTTAGTATGCGGTCGAAGATGTTTTTAACCATAAAACCAAAAGAAAACTTGTTACCCAGAATGTTTTTCTTTTTTTAGGGTAATTATGAATATTTGAGTCAAATATATATTTTAATTAATTTTTTGAGATCTTAAAATTATTATATATTAATGGTTCTGGAATTTATGGTACTCTATTTAATGATATTTAATAAATAAATTTAAAATTTGACTAATTAAATTATATTTCTTAAAAATTACATGATAATATTTTGTTAATATACAATAAAATAAAGTTACGTTAGACATTTTAAAATCCCAATTCCTCTACCTTATGTCATTTTGTTTTTGTTTGATAATGATAAATGTCCGATCATCTCAATTAATCTTACAAAGACCTTTCAGTGACTTGAAAGAATTGTAAGTGGTGATCATTGCCCATCATCTCATTCTAGTGTCTTCCTTTGTCACATATAACGTGAGTTCTAAATGTCGCTGCGTAAAACATTCCGGAATTCCAGTCATTTTCTTTTCTCTCACGTCGCCGAGATTACGAGTGGTCCTCTCTACCCCACCACTATGGGACTTTAAATCAAAATCAATTATCTGGAGTGTATCATAAATAACGGCTCTCTCTCTCGTGTCGCCATCGTTTGGTCGTCTACCAGTGTATGACAGCCTTTGGGCTTTGACACAAAATGCATTTTTAGCGGTCCTAAAGAAAATTGAACGCGTATTTGTTAGTAATGAGCGACAATGTGATGCCAATCTATGCACAGTTCACGCCGCACTTTTTTGTTTTCTTTTTAAGTTTCTTCTTTTAATCTTAATTTGTTTTTGTTTTGTATGAGTTATATTAATAAGTAATAAATAGGATATAAATATTATTAAAACGTACCGAACTTAATCATATATATATATATATATATATTATTTTAGTTTTTAGTGAATAATAAATAATAATTAGATAATTGATACCCATATAAATACCTAAAAACTAATTAATAATTTATAAATATGTAAATTTTTTATTTGATGGGTAATGATTAAGGCATGTATATCTCAAAATTTGACACAAAAGTAATCATTGCCATCCATACTTAATATTGGATTTTGATTTATTTTTATGCCAAATTTTATCTACTTTCTTTTTATTTTATTTTTTTTTTTGTTTTGCTTTACTTTTTTTTTATAGTTTTTTTTTTCAAACACCATCTTTTAATGTTTTGTTATTGAGAATTTTACTTTGTTATTTTTTTAGGGTTTAACTTCAATAAGATTAGTTCTAAGCTCATGATTACAATCATAGGTTTATAATATTAATATGAAATTTGTTTTTTCTTTTCAATATCATCATTCAATATTTGAATTATTGAGCATTGGTTCTCATGTATTTTTTTTTGTCGCTTTTCTTTCTATGAGGTTATTCTAATTTTATATCCTTGATCGTGAGTTTAACATGTTAACTTAACTTAACTACAATCTTTTATTTGCATTGCTTTTTTTATTTCATATATATATATATTTTAATTTTTTTCTTCAATATTGGATTGTTTGATAATTAAGATTTCAGTTTGCTTTCGATAGAGTTAATTCGGTGTCACGTATAGGTCATAGATTTTGCATGTTAACCATCATGGATTCAAGTTAGTTTTTTTTTTTTTTTATCTTTTCCTTTTTTCTTCACATTATCAAAATTATATGGACTTATTAACTCAAGTCAAGTTAACGACTCGAGTACTTCTTCTTTTTTCTTTTCTTTGAGAATGCTTGCATTGCCTTGACTTTCATTTATGATGGAAAAAGAAATTAAGTTAACCCGCAATATAGCGCTATTCACCCATCTAATAACTTTCTATAAAGCTTGAATGAAAATAGATAAAGATTTAGTAGGTGTACTCCTCCCTAGCTCTTTTAAAGATATTGTACAAAATGTTTATGTTAAAAAGAAATCCTAAAACACAAAATACAACACTTTCAAGTCTTTCTCTTTCTCTCTCTTTCTTCTATAAATGATCTCTCTCTTTCTCCCATGAATGATCACTTTAAAATTATCTGTTAAAATCATTACAAATAAAATCATTACAAATAGCCTTCAATAATTTTATTATTTTTCACTTTGCATTTATGTTTTCAAAAATTATATTTACATCCTGAAGGCTATATGTTAATAACATGTTATATCATCTACTTGATAGTTAAAAAAAAGTCAATAAAAAAATTAGATTATTTATAAAAATTTTATTATATTAAATATAATAACTAAAAAGCCTTTAATGCATCAAAATAATAAAAATTCTATAAATTGGTCATTGCTTACTTAAAAAAAAATTATTTATTTTAAATTTCTTCATAATTATAAAAATGTCATTAATTACATATTTTTAACAAGAAATCTTCCTCTTACCTTATCATTTTCAGCCACAATCAACCTAAAAAATATATAAATTTTTTCATTCAAAATAGAAAAGAATTCACACTAAAATTTCTAGTAAACTCGACACAAAATATTTGGTTAAAATGATGTAAACAATCTAGTAAACCCACGCTAAAATGTCTAGCAAGAAAACCTTAAAAATTCCAACAAACACACTCCCTTTCATTCAAGCAAACAAACATCCAAAATTTAAAAAAACACACTTCTTTTTATTCAAGCAAACAAACAATCAAAATTCAAGCACACACATTGCACATAAGAAGTACACATTGCCCAAAACACATTAATAACAAAATTGCCAATAACCTTTAAGATTTCGAGCACATACACTAACAATTGTTATTATCAAATACATAATCAAAATTTTTAGCAACAACTGAAAACCCATATTGTAAACAACCTAAAAGTTTCGACAGACACACTACCATTAAAAAGCAGACACATTATTAACATGTCGTCATCAATATTAAAAGCTAATGACTTACAAACATATAGCAACTTGGATGGACTAATGTTCAAAATAGAAAGTGCATGAAATGTGGATAAAGAGCAGTTGTCAGGATATCAAAAACAAAAATATATAAAAACAAGTTATTTATAAATATGATGATAAGCCACGCGATAATAGCTTTATTGATTGGTACAAACTTATTAATGAAATTAAATTAGATATAAGAAAAGGAAGAGGTGATGATGATATCAAGATGATATTAGATGAAGGGAAGAAAATGAAATATGAATTATGTAGAGTTTGAATAAAAAATCAAAATATAAAAGTTAATTTTTCAAGTGTTAAGTTGTTATTGATAGCTAATTTAGCGTGTGCAATATTGATATTCCTAACCACGATATTATTCATGTTGAATAAATGAAACAAAATGAAATACATGCATTCTTCCGTTAATAAAATATAGGAAACATAGATATCAAATATAGTAAAAGCATGCACATTTATGTAATAAATATCTATAATTTAAACTTGTTATGTTAGCCATAATGATGTATAATAATTATGTTGTTGTTGATTCAAAAAGTTAAAGCAAAAACATTATTCGGCTCTTCATCAAACTTCAACCAATTAAAATAAAAGTTAAAAGAGATTATTGATTCACTATGTATACACTCACATTGTAAAATAACTATTTTATCATTCCAAAACAAAACCAAATAACTTGGCTTGAGAGGTAATATAATTTTATTTTATTTTATTATAGGATCAATTTGTCATTACCAAATTAACTAGAGGCATCTCAACCATCTCATATTTTTATTACACAGTAAAATTTATAAATAACTTTTAAAAGAAAAATATGAAAACTACACTTCAAAGTCTCTCTCTTTTCCTCGTAGAGTGATCTTTTTACAATTATCTTTTTACAATTATCTTTTGGGATAATTACATAAAACTTTCTATAGTTTGATCATTTTTAATTGTTTTCATACTTTAAAAAAATTACATTTTACATCCTGGACTTTATAAGTTAATAATAGTTTACATCTTCCAGCTGACACATAAAAAAAATCAAAAATATATTTTTTTATTTATAGGATTGTTATTAATTTCAATTTAATGAGTAAAAAACTTCTAGTGTATAAAAAAAATGAAATGCCACAAATTGATTGTTGCTTACATTTACAAAAACTAATTGTTGTTAAAGGTTTTTATAATTACAATAATACTGTCAATTACATGTTTTTATTAAGAAAGCTTCCTCTTCCCTTACCAATCCTAACCGCAATCAACCTAAAATTTTCAGTAAACTTTTTAACCAAAATTAAAATAAACTCACTTCAAGATTTCTAGTAAACTATGTACAAAATTTCTAGCAAAAATTATGCAAAAAAATCCAATAAGCACACTCCAAAATGTCCAACAAACAAACCTTAAGATCTAAAATACACTCCATTTTATTCAATCAAACAAATATCTAAAATTCAAATGGACACAATCTCTTTTATTCAAGCAAATGCAACTAAAATTCATTCAAACGCATTGCATATAAGAAGCATATACTGCTAAAACATATTAAGAGCAATATTATCAACAACCCTCAAGATTTCCAACATATAACCTCTGTTTCTCACGG